AGAAGTCTGCGCCTTCGGTTTTCATGGGAGCTGCAAACTTCTCAATGTGTTTCCTCTGCTACCAGCTCACTTTCCATGCATGGCTTCTGATAATCACGTCCAACCAAGCCATCCTGACTGCAGTAGTGTGGTTGGTGTGGAGAAGCACAGGCAGAGCAGAATTTGGGTGCCATCTCACCATTCTCCTGGTGGCCACATTTTAATATTGAATAAAACCAGCAAGAGACAGCTCTTCCTTTGAGTTATCACCAGGCAGGAGCCTGAGGGTGTGAAGACATTTTTGTGTTGCACTCTGCTGTGCACACTAGCCAAAGGAGAGTGAGCCTTTGGGACCCTGTCCCCTTTCTCGGGAATGACGCTGTCGTGGCCAGACTGCAGACACTCAGTTCGCAAATGCACCCAGGATTTGTGCATCAAGGAGACATCTGGCTTCACCAGGAGCTTGCTCAGAAGCGGGTGTCAGATCCTGGGGGTAGAAGGTAGAGCTGATGTTTCACGGCTTGGTTTCTTCAGTGCTGGTCAGGTTATTGTATGTTCAAGGAAGAGAAGGGAGTAGTCCTTTCCTCAGTGAAGTTGTCGAGAATGTAGGTATTTCTGTGTTACTCCTAGTAAAAAAAATTGTGACTCAGCATGTCCATACGCTTTGTGTTGCTCTTACTGGCAGTCAGCCTTAGTTCAGGGCTGCAGGTTGTAGGATGTTGGCAGGTGGGCTAATAGGGTCAGTAGGAATGGAAAGTCACCTTTGTTTTCTGTACCCGTTCCACCTTGAATTAGGTTTTTTTCAAGATGGTGGGTTATGCGTGAGGATCTAGGTGAGGCATCATACCAACTTTGTGCAGAATGTGCGTGTTTCCCAGTTACGCAAGCCATACCTCAGCTTGCACATGTGGGATCCCATTTGACTGTCCAGCGGTGCGGTTCAGTGATGTCGTGGAGAGGCAATACTTGCAGAATTCCTCCTCCTCTGGTGTTCCCAGTAAAGAGCCCCAGACTAGTGCAGACATTCTTGTCATTGGGGTGCAATCCAAATCCCATGGAAAACAGTACTTTCCCAGGATTTTCTGAATCAGACCCATTAGCTCCAGAGTACATGTCTCTGCATTTCAACTAAATAAATTTTGTTGTAGTTTTGTTAGCTCACTTTTCAAAATCATCTAGTCCTGCGTGACATCTTCATTGCCAGAATACTGGCTGTGCTTCCAACTTAATGTCACCAGGAAATTTCACCAGAATCCGTGTATTATTTTGCCAAATCACTGTTGAAAATGCTAAATTTGTCCAAAGATTTGTCCAAAGATCCTCAAGTGACACTGCAGATGATCTCCTTCCCACCTGACGATACCCATTTTTGCTAACTCATCTTTTTTCCAGTTCTCTGTGCATCTACACTTTAGTGAAGAATTTCTAGTTTGCTTTGATTCAAGTGTTTTACTGAAGTGGCCAGGCTGCCACGCTCTAAGCTTAGAAAAATGATGTTCTGTTTTTAGGTCATTTTCCATTTAGTGTCATGTCATCAGTTAGGCTTTACTTAAAAAGGCATCACGAAGCCTTGCCTGCTGGTGAGATCACACTAGCATGTCTGTGTGGTTCTCTTTTTTTGGAGATTTTGAGGAAATGGTGATTGGGAGAGCTTTGCTTCAGGGACCATAGGCAGGGTCAGGGAGAGTTCAGTTCCTGGAGGCTTTGGCTTAGAGAAGCCGTTTGTATTTTACATGCAGCCTTTTATTCACCTTTCACTGTGCTTGCCTAATTTAAAGGGAACGTATCCAGCAACTGCCAGTGGTGTCACTTCCAAAGGGACGCGATTCCTGAGAGCTCTAGCCTTGTTGGCACCACCTTGCAGATCTGTGGGACAAGCCAGCGTTGTGCAGCCGGGAGGTCGGTGGGACAAGCGAGCGGCTGGGCCGTGAGGACATCCCTCTGCAGCTGGGTGACTCCAGGCAGCTGGTGGGAAGTGCAGGGGAGCTCCTGGAGAGACTGCAGAGGCTGACAGAAGCCGCTCCTGGAAGTCGTAGCAGCACCGTTTCATTTCAAAGCGAAATTTTCAAATTGGCACCGCTTCGTTGTGGCGCGCGCTGCTGGCAAGGCGGGCGGATCCGGGAGGCTCGCGCTGGGCGCCGGTACGGGGTCGGGTGTTTGCCGTGGGTGTGTGGTGTGGGCTCCGAGCGTGCGTCGGCAGCTTTTCCCAGCGTCTCTTCTGCGCACACGTGGTGTCCCGCAGGCCCAGCGCAGGTCATGCCGTGGCCACCTGCCCTGGCACCGTGGTGTGCTGCCGGGGTGGCCGCCGGCAAAGCCAGCCGGAGGCAGACTCGCGAGTCGCCTGGGGCTGCTGCTCTGCGAGCGTGACTGCAGCAGCCCTCCTTCCCTGCTGCCGGCACTCGTTCCGCTGCCCGGCCTCGCGCAGCCGAGGAGGTCTGGCACGGCGGGCAGGCTTGGGGGGTGCCTTGGCCACGGCAGAGTGGCGTGTCCCTGGCTCTGCTCAGGGCCGAGGCCCTCGGGCATTGGTGGCAGCCTGCGCTGCTCCCGGCAGCAGTGATGGAAGGGTGCGTGCCCGCAGCCCGGGCTGGCGGTGCAAGGGGCACACCTGGGCTCCCCGGGGCTCTGCGGGACTCTCCCTGCTGCTGCAGGAGCTTCTCCCAGGCACTCTGCACTCCCGCTGCTTGCCCCGCGGCTGTGGCGACGGACGCGCGCTGTGCAGGCACTGCCTGGGCTCTGGGGGCAGCCCAGCCCCTCGCAGCCCGTCCGGTCCTGTCCCAGCCCAGCAGCGCCGTGCCCAGGACCCAGCTCCTCCAGGTCCCAGGAGAGCAGCCTCGTCCCTGCTCCAGTGGCAGCAGGCTCCCTCCCACGAGGAGGCGAGAGGAGATGGATGCGGCAGTCAGGAGCAGAGCGCCAGCTAATTACCCTTCCGAGTGTGTCTTGTAAATTAAGGGCTAATTAGAGGCAAAGTCAGTGTCATGGTTTTACACGTGTTTCTGTGGCGCTGCACAAGGGGAGGGAGGGGGAGCGTGCGGCAGCCGGGCTGGAGGCAGCCGAGCCGGCGGCTCTGCCGGGACCCTGCAGCCGGGGCACCGCGGCCCTGCCAGCTCTGCGTGGGCGCTGCCGGGCCGGCAGGATCTGCAGGGTCTGCAGGCAGGGCTCACAGGGAGCCCCCCACGCAGTGCACCGCAGGAACGGGGGGGGTGTTCCAGGGTGGGTACGTGGAAGGGGAGGGTGGGACGCGTTCACCGGGCGGGTGATAAATGGAAGGTGCTCACGGACAGCAGACGTGCCTGGTGCAGGGCCGATGGCCCCCATCACCCCTCCGTTCAGCACACGCCTTTTGCAGGGGGGGATTTGGGCTTCCTGAGCTGTCATTTCAGGCACTCTGCGGCCTCAGGCAGCACTCGGGCACCAGTGACATTGGAATCATATTTCTCAGGTTTTCCTGGAAACAGCAGGGACAGAAACGTAACTTTATGTGCAAAATCTGGGGCTGCACGCGGGATTTTATGGGGCTCAGCCCTTTGTGGAGGGTGGCTGAGCACTGGAATAGGCTGCCCAGCAAGGTTTTGCAGTGTCCCTCCTTGGAGATACTCAAAACCTGTCTAGACCCAGTCTGGGGCAACTGGCTCTGGGTGGCCCTGCTCAGGCAGGGGTTGGACAGGACCACGTCCCTTCCAACCTCAGCCATGCTGGGATTCTGTGAGAGCAAAATTAGGCTGGTTTTACACAGTGAAAACGCAGTCCAGTGAGCTGGCCTGGCTGTAGCAGTTCCAGCTGCAGACCTGCTCCTGCAAGTGTCCATCTGCTCTCCAGCCTGCTTCTGTGAAAAGATCCCACTTACATCCCAGTCCCGTGAAGCAAGAGGCTCGGTTTCTCCTAGCCCAGCTCCTTGCATGGCCATGGAGCAGTCAGCTCTGACGGGGCTGGGGCGAGCAGACAGGTCAGGCTGTGGGTGCACGTCTCACCAGCCAGGCACGCTGCGGCCGGAGCCGTTCAACAGGCCCTGCCCTCATCCATGCCAGAAGGGCTGGTGTGGGAGTCCCAGCTCAGCAGCTGTGCCTCCAGGTGTGGAAGGAGGAAAAGCAGCTTCAGAGTAGGGAAAGGGACCCTTTGCTTGCCCCCCAGCTCCCAGAGCACTTGCTCTTCTGTGGCTGGAGCTGAATGCCCTAAGGGAAGTCACAGGAAAGTGCTTGTAGTGGGCAGGTGTAGGGTAATCCCTCTAGGCCAGTGTCATCCTCCTTAACAGATTGTCTGCAGCCTTGAACAGCAAGATTTTTGCTCCCTGTCAGAACTGCTCTGTTTACTATTCTGGAAATTTTGGATATTCTTGTAATCCAGAAACACTTGACCCATTTTGAATCACTGAGTGATCTTGTCTTCTGTGCCAGCCTCTTGTCCCAAAAGCACTCCTTTCTTGTGCTCTCAAGCTCCTGGGCTCAGCTACAGAAGTTTCCAGCTAGTGGGAAGAGGCATTTTTCACCCATGATCCCCACCTTAGAGAGCTCTGTTTCCCTGCTTGTCCCTTTGACATCCACGATGTGATCTTCCATTCACACCTTGTGCCTCCAACATGGTTGTGTTTCCTGCAAGGGACACACAAGGAGTGAAGTTAAGGAGTCGGAAAGGGCACACTGGTTATGCAGTGGGTTTGTGTTTGTCCAGGTGCATGAAGCTGTAGTGAAAACAGTGAGCAAACCATGGACTCCAGCTGCAAAATCTGTCTGGAGGGGGAAGCTGTGTGCCAGGATGCATAGCTACGCATCCCAGGGTGCTGCACTGAAGTACATCAAGCTGGGCGTCCCGCTGAGGAGTGGGGTGTGCTGGGCAGTGCTCTTTTCTCAGCACCTTTTGGGGGGTGTGATGCACTGGCATCCCTTGGGAGAGGAGAGCCGGACAGAGCCTGCCCTGATGCAGGGCCACCCAGGGGCATGTTGCATCAGGTACAGGACAGCTTTTCCTTCTTCCGCCGTGCTTCAGAGGAGCAGCTGGTCCGTGCTGAATTTGTGTCTCTCTCGCAGGTGCTCCCCACTCGACCAGCAGTACCTCCCTGCACTCAGAGCGCTCCATCAGCGGCATCAACCTGGTGGGCTTCAGCTCAAAGCCCGACGGCATGCACCAGCGCTCCTACTCCGTCTCCAGCGCGGACCAGTGGAACGAGGCGGTGGCTATCCCCGGCAGCTGCCCCAACCCCCGTAAGTAGCACTTCTGAGCCCCCTCCCCTCAGCTGCAGCAGGCGGGGAGGCTTATTGTGGTGATGGGGCAGTCCTGAGCTCTGCCCTGGGGCTCTGAGCCCCGAGTTTGGTCACGGGTGTGGGATACAGCCTTTGGGGTCTTGTTGGGACTGTCCCCCTTCGGGAGGGTCAGCTGGCAGTGTCCGAGCCGGGGGGAGAAGCTCTCCTGCCGGGCACAGTAAAGCAGTCCCCCTCCAGCCGAGGGATGCTGCTCTGCAGCAGGGCTGCTCTGACCTCTCTCCTCCTCCTGCCGCACTCGCGGCTCACCATGCAGGGGATGACCACTGCTTTCCCCATCTCTGCTCCTCATCGGCACCCGCAGCTCCCAGATTTTGGGGCAGTTGAACGAATAGGAGTAATTCCTGTCTCTGGAGCACACACTGAGCATGGCCCTCCCCCTCCCCCCACTCTCACTCGCTCTCTGTGATGTTTCAGGACAGTTGAGTGAATTAAAATAATTCATACATTTCCCAACGTAGCCACTTTGCCGAATTGGAAAATAAATGCTTTTGTGCTGCATTCATCACTCCTTCGTTCCTGGCTCTGCCGCCGCACTAAAAAAGCAGTTAAATGCACATCAAGAGTGGAGGAGCCATTTCCATGCCTGCTCGCCCCTTGTAGTTCTCATTAGCGCGGCAGCCGCCCCCCCGCTCGGTCCCAGGGGCTTTCGCAGTTTAAAGAGAGCCTCTTTATGATCATTACCGGAGTCCGACTGTGCGGGCGCCATTTGCAGCTGAGGAGGCTCCTCATTTGTAACTGTGAAAAACTATCAATTTCAGCGCGCCTGATGCAGCGGCTCCATCATTGGCCCCATCAGCTCCCTGCTGGAAGCGAATTAATCAGACTGTTACTGCTGATGGGGCAGCGCAGGCGACGGGAGCGGAAGGGCGCAGCTCTGAGCATTAATGTGCCGGCAGCCCCCCCACGCCTCGCCTCGGACACGGGGTGGGTGCAGCGGGACAGTCTCTGCCGCTCCGGCGCCGGGGAAAGCGGGGCGCGAGGCGGGGGAACCGCCGCGCCGTGCACTGCTTCGGGCACGGGTGCGTCTGCTGGGATGCTGCAGGGCCCGTGCCCTGCACGGGGCGAGGGGTGTCCCTGCCGCAGGCAGCTCCCTGCCCTGCCCACGGGAGCCGTGCACGCAGGCAGCAGGAGCCTGCCGTGCCGACCGCTGAGCGTGCCCCTGCGCACGCAGCAGCGGGGTCCGCGTGCCCTCCAGCAGACCGGCAGCACTGCAGCCGGCGAGCACGTTGCCTTTGCAGAGGTGGATTTTGTGGCTCAGCCCTTCCGGACAGCGGCTGTCTGCCTGGGTGGCCCCTGTCCCCAGGAACAATCGTGGCAGGTCTCATCCTGGAGCCCAGGGGCCTGGTGTGGCCACCCACCCATCCTGCCTGCCCTGGCTCTGGCCTGGGTGCTGCAGGAGAACCAGCGGGCTTCTGCTCCCTGTCCCCGGGAGGAGCCTGCTGGGTTTGTGGCCACCCAAAGCAATCTACCTCATTCACGCAAAGTAAACCGGAGACTGACACGAACGGGGGCTGAGAGGCTGCTGCTTCTCCCCATGACGTGGAGGGATGAGATGTCAGCTCGGTGCTAATTGTGCGTCTTGAGCACTGCTGACTGCTCGTGCGCTCTCGGGTCCCACTGCACTGTGCTGGACCCCGAGCCCTGTGGGTCGGTCCTGCCTTGCCCTGCCCTGTGTCAGTGGTCCACAGACACATCACTGGGCCAGCTGTGGTGAAGGGCCCGCAGCACACGAGGGGTGACCAGCCCGGCTGTCCCGGGAGCCTCCTGGAGCAGCCTCGCAGTGCGTCGCCCAGCTCACGGCTCGTGGCACCGTCACTGCTGTGCTGGCAGGGAAAGCAGCGATTTCGTACCTCCCAGCAGCTTCTCTCCCACCCAGAGAACTGCCCCGGTCTGTTGGGGAAGGGCTGGGGCAGGGGGAGCCCCTGGAGCAAAGCCTGAACCCCGGCTGTGCCGCTGTGTCTGTGCAGCCCAGGTCTGAGTTCTGCGCTGTTTCCAGCTCTGAACGGCGGAGCAGGGTGAGGAGTGTTTCTCTGCTCAGAGCAGACTTGCAGGCAGAGGGTACCGGCTGCCCTCATGGCTCCTAGGGGTGGGCTGCCTCCTCCAGTTGTGTCCCGGAGAGCACACGGAAGAGCGGTGGGGCAGGCTGTACAGATCACCTAAACATGCTTCAGCACGTTGTGTTTGTCCTTTATGGGAGGACATCAGCAGCCCGCCCGTGGGGACCCAGGGGCTTGGAGAGCAAGCAATACCTCATCTTGTAGAGGGAGTGTGTTTCGTAATCTGCCCCCACCCCATTGCAGTCCCATCCCCATCCCACTGGGGGCCTCGGGAGCCCCCAGCTCTGCGGCTTTAGCTGCTGTGCACTAGGAGGAGCAGGGACGTGGGCAATCTCTGCTCGGCAGGGCGGGAGATGTGGGGCTCACCACAACCTGCAGGCGCGTTGGCAGGAGCTGCCGAAACGCACAAACCCTCGCCCTGCGCTGGGGGCGGGGGCGGGGGGAAGGATGCTGATGGTGCGTGGCTTGGCCCGGGAGGCATCCTGGTGAGCAGGTGGGCAGCAGAGGTAGGCTGGATGCACCACGTGTAGCCTTGGACGAGAAAGTTCAGGTCCCCTGCGACATCCAAGCTAGGAGATGAAGGTGCCTCACACCTGCTCTAAGCACAGTCCTGTTGAACAGTATCAGTGATTTATATTTATAAAACTGGAGTCTGATTTTATTAGATTTATCTCTCTTAATTGTCAAGGGTGAACTATTTCCCTGTGGATAAAGAGCAGCAGAAACACCCTACTAGTGTGTGTCAAATGTAGCAGAAACCAGAGGTGGAAGAGCTCTGACGCCGCGTCCTCTCCCAGCCTTGCAAGGGGGACACTGGCTGCACACTGGACCTGCGTGGGGCAGCTCCTGGCCGCTGCCTGTAGCCCTCTTCTTCCCACTGTTGGGTGCTTGTCTTGACACACAGAGACAGCCCAAGGCCCAGAGAGCCAGTCTGACTGAACCAGGCTGAAACGGGAGGGTAGGGTCTGGGCTGGGGCGGGAGAAGAGCTTGCCAAGTCACCGGCCGTTCCCGCTGCTGGAGGGTGCTGCCCTTGTTCAACGCTGTGATTGCTTCCTTAATTTCAGGTACCACAAAACATGGAAATTGGAGGTTAGGGCTTGATGGGAGACACTGGGTTTTTGCAGAGGACAGCAAGCTGCCCAGGACAGAAGCAGGCTGGGAGCGGAGCTGCCATATGTGCCCTGTGGGTGGGTGGACACTGGAGAGGCAGGAGTGTATTTCGGAGAGGGTTAACAGTGCAGCGAGGGCTCCTGCGCCTCGTTGCCTTCCCCGGAGTCTGCATTTTTATGCTGATTGGAAGCCTGCGCTGTGTGTGCTGCTGAAATTGAATGTCAGGCTTTTGATTTTGTTGCTGGTCTCTAATGAAATTTGACATTTAATGGTGAGTGCAGCGGCAGCGTGTGTGTGTGTGATCGGAGCTTGATTAGCGCGCTCTAATTGACAGTAATTAGGCAGCTCCCTGATTGTTTCTAATTCTGCTATTAATTGTAAGGAACAGTATGATTGAGGATAAATTTGGTGCGTTGCTGCTGGGGATGCAGCTTCTTCAGCTCCGTATCGGAAGCCTATTGAGACCATCATGCTTAGGTTCCTAAGTGTGGCAACCCCAGTCACCTCGTCTGGCAGAGCGGTGCCGCGGGGGATCGAGGCTTCTGCAGCAGCACTGCAGATCCCAGGACATGGATCCACACCGGGGGGGGCCGAGAGCACCTCCTGGGACTGTCCCCTCCCAAAACGCGTGCATCGTCCTGTGAGGACACTGCCACTGAGCAGTACGTACAGGGATGTGCGCTGAGGGGTTGGCATGGGCTGCCCCCAGTGATGCCCCTGCGCTTGTCCCAGCCACGCAGCCGCCAGTGCTGTCTCTGCGTGACCATCCCGGATGAATCCCCGTGCAGAGCGTGTCCAGCCTGGCCCTGCCCAAAGAGCCTGCCAGCCCTGAGCTGGAGTGGGTGTTCGAGCTGCCCTGTGCAATGGGGCTGAGTGTGTGTGCTATCCTGTCTCGTGGGGCTGTTCATTTTGAGCCAGGCAGAGCACCGGGGCTGTCTCCAGGACATTTGGTTGTCTCTAGAAAGAGCAGACTGTCACCGTCCTTCTGTACATTACTTTCTTTATCTTTGTTTCCAGCTAACGGTACAGCCGATTCTCTCAGCTCCAGCCCGAACATTTCCAGTGCTGCCAGCCCAAAGCTGGAGCCGCCTCCATCACCACATGCAAACAGGAAGAAGCATCGCAGGAAAAAGAGCACAGGGACGACACGTCCTGATGGCCCCAGCACCGCAGCAGAAGGTAGGAAAGGTCTTCTGCCTGGGGAGCAGCTCTGCCAGCGCAGAGCACCGGGCACCCGGGAGTCCAGCCGGCGCTCGCCGGGTCCTGGGGCTTGGAGTGCTCCTTGTCTGAGCCGCCTCGTGCTTGGGCAGAAAGGAGCAACCAGCCCCTCGTGATCTGCCCTCAATTTCTCACCTGCAGTGGCGGCAGGACTGCCATCGTGCCCATGACTACACGTACTGTTAGTGGTGACAATATTTACTAACGGTATTGGCAGAGCTGAGAGCACACCACATGGTTGAGGCGTGCTTAACTCTGCCTAAGGTGTGCAAACACCTTCTACCACAAGAAAGAACCTATTTCTTTTGGCTTGTAAATCTGACAAGCTTTCCTCATTTAAAAGACCTGTGCTGGCCATCTGCCTCAAGCTGAGGGTCTTTTGGAAAAGTTTATCTACTTCAGGAACCAGTTGAAGGCATACACATTGCTTTGCCCATGCAAAAAGTACTGATGGTTTTTCTGCTGAGAAATTTTCGTGTCTCCGCAGTTTCTGAAGAGGGACCCGAACCTTGGTAGGGAGCCTGCAAGGCATAGGGAAGTGCATTTTGCTGTGAAAAGCCATCCAGATTTGGCCAGGTAGAGATTAGCTTGGCAACTGTGTTCTCCAAAGCCTGCATCAGGATTAGCCTCTGCGGAAAAAGTGTTCCTCAGTCTTCAAGGTTTGACTTTATCTTAGGTCATCCTGTCCCACAGCACTCAGTAAGCTTTTGTAGTAAACCAAGTGAAAGATTTAATTCAGATGGCTAAAGGCGATGGGGAGGAGTTAGGTACAAGTGTTTGAAACTAATGGCTACTGTAAAACAAACCAGAAAATTTTAGCCTGTACATGTGTTAGCCTGTACCTAGCAAAGCTGCGGCTGTCCTGGCATCTTGCTCCAAATTACAGGTCAGCCCGTAGCCCTGCAGCCCAGGCTTCCCATGGCAGAACAACTCATTCTGGACTTCTCACTCTTAGAAACATTCTGGTGATGATTGGCACAGGAGTTTGGCAGTTGTGTTGTTCAGTCTTTTCTGTTGTTTTCTTCATCTGGAAACCACTGTGTTAAGGAAGGACTTCCCCTTTGCAGTGGTTGATTCAGGCACCTTGACCATCATTTGAGTCTATAATATACACTGGATATCTCATGGAAAGCAAATATTACCTGTGTTTACATTTTGTTAAACAGCTGATGCGTTCGTAGCTGTGGGTATATTGACTTTTCAAACACGTTACTGCCCTTCCCACATCCGCTCTCAGCTTGCAGTTCTCAGTCCAGTGCTTTGGCAAAAAGAGAGACATGTATTCTTTATGTCTGAAAAGTGGGATACCAAAGAGTAGAACGACTCTGCACCTACACATGAGAGTTAGAAAGCACGTGCTGCGTCCCATCCTGTAAATAATACTCCAAGAGAGCATGGAAATACTGGAGAGAGTTGTAAAGAAGGTCCCAAAACTGTCTTGGCTATGATGAATGTATTTATGAGGTGGACATTAAGGTATTCACCTTACCAGAAGGAGAAGTGAAGGGACAGAGAAAGCAGTCTGGTCCTGCAAGGCTGCTCAGCATAGGTGATGGGACTATGAGAAGGTGCAGAGGTTGGGATCTCAAGTTACACAAAACTGAATACAATTTCTTAGTGGAAAAGGTAATAAAATGTGGGAATACTTTTGTGAAGTAGTAATGTGGACTAACCACTGCTCAAAGTCTTAAAATTAAATTAGTTACTTTTCCACAAGATGCGTGTGGACCGGCCCCTGGCAGAATCCCTGCCCTCTGCATTCAGGAGGGCAGACCAGCTGATTGTCACCTTCCTCCTTGGATGCCCAGCCCATGAATCTTTGAGCCATCCCAGTTTTTCCGTCATTTGATAGGGAGTTTCTTTCAGACATATGCTCACACTTGCTGTCCTTCCCTGCTTGGCAGTATCCTGGGAAGGTGAAGTGACCGAGGCTGCACATAGTGACGATGTGGTGCCACGCAGTGTGTACAAGGGCATCAGAATATTTTTTGTTACTCATTGCCCTGGTGCTTGACCATGGTGTTGTGCTGGGAAGAGGTCTTGTGCTATCTGCAGTGATATCCAGGCCCTCTCATGGGTTGACACAGTCAATTTAGAACCCTGTCAGTTGTTGGACTAAAGCAATTTTTTCCTACAGTGTGCATTACTTCGCATTTATCAACATGGAACTTCATTTGCCAGCGAAGTGTCAGTTACCAAACTTCATCTGTCACTGCACAGACCTTGCACACGGTTGCTCCTCCTGCTGCCAGAAGCCCCTGGCACCAGAACCGGCAGCAGGAGAAGCACCTCCCCGGTGACCCGCAGCACTGCCACTGCTGGGAGGCTGCAGTGGGCTGCCCGGCGCGCTCCCGTGCGGCAGTGGGACGGGAGCGGCGAGGACGCTGAGCACGGCAGAGCCCGGGGGGCATCTGCGACCTGCAGTCGCCTGAGCAAGATCACCTCTGTGTCTCCAGCTGGAATCCTGTCCTTCCGAGTCCCCGTGTCCTTCGTCGGTCGGTAAATGGGAGCCGCTGGCTCAGCGCTGGTGTCAGGCAGCAGTGACCAGCGCCTGCGGCTCCCAGGCTTACGCCGGGCCACAGTGGTCCCATGCAGTGTCTTCCTCATGGGGTATTGTCCAACGGGTTTTCTGGCTTTTTGGCTGGCTTTTCAAAAACTTATCTTGTACTTACTTTTTATGTAATCTACTGTATTAGAAAACCGATCCAATTGCAAAATTGGGCTTCCGAAGGCCCGGTCATCCTCATGGGTCACCCTGCACCAGCACCTCCCGGCTGTGCGTGCTGGGGGCCCGGAGGGGCTGCGGGCAGCACCCGTGCCAGCAGCACGGTGCTCTGTGTCCGCAGAGCCAACCACTGCTGCTGGGCAGAGGCAGCAGGCACCGAGAGGTTCGCAGCTTGGTCCTGCCGCAGCCAGGCCAATGTTTGTTTCAGTAGCAAACAGTTGTACAGCCCGTTTTGGGAGAGGGGAAGGTCTCTGGAAAGGGTCCTTGCACGTTCCTGTGCTCAGTACAGATTGCGGCGCTGAATCCCACTCTCCTTTTCAGGCAGACGAGCCCCTGCCTGCCATATGGCACCGGGTCTCCCTGCCTGTGGTACCCTCCCTGGGCCACTCGTTCTGTCCCTCCCCGACTGCCAGCACTAGGAGTGCTCCTGAGCACCAGTGCAGCTCAGCGTGCCGCGGTGGCTCCCCCCCAGGACAGGGCAGCCCAGGGCAGATGCAGAGGAGTGACTCTGGGACTGATGCTCAGGGTGTCTGCTTTCTAGACACGCAGGGAGAGCACTAGACTGGAGTCACACCCAGGTCACTGTCCTGCGTGGCAGCCTGCATTAGAAGTGGAAACTGGCAGCAAGCAAATAAGAGATAATGAGCCTCTTTGTGAAGTCCCATCCTGATGTCTTGGTGCTTGGTTCCGGCTGTGAACCTGGGACTGAGCATTACCCCACATCATGGGCGTGACTTAAGACTTGTGTCATGGACTGGTGTCCGTAAGTAGGTCTGATTCTTCCTTGAATCATTTTCAAACAGTTGCAGCCGTTTTTTTCACAGCAGGATAATCTGAGGTTTTTGCTTTCACGTAGTCAGCATGGTGGAAGTGTGACAGTCCCTGTGCAGAGAGCAGGGCTGCCATGCTCGGTGGTGGAGCTGCCATCCCTCGTGGTGCTCAGCCCGCTGTGGAGGGTACACCGCCTTGGGAGGAGCCGGGGGGACAGCCCAGCGACCGGCTGTGCTCTCCATGAGCTCGTGCCAGCGTGGCTGTGCCGGTGGGGGGGGCACCGCTGCTGGGACCCCCCCCAAAGCCTCCTGACAGACCCCAGCAGCTGCATCGGGGCAGGGAGGGTGCCAGGCGCAGCCCTCGGGCGCAGTGTCTCGCCCGGGCACAGGCAGCGGCCGGGAGTGCGGGGAAGCAGAGGAGCTGGGCTGAGGCCAGGCTGCTTCGGATGCACCCAGCCCAACGCCTGCGTGTGCAGGGCACGAGCGTCTCAGGTTAGCATCCTGGGAAAGTTGGTGAGGTCTGGGGATAAATTGCCATCAGTTTATCTCATTTAGGAGGTAATCAGAGCCAGGGACGTGCGGAGCAATTGAATCTTAGTTGTTCTGAAGTATCATAAATCAAACGAGCTGTTGCTTTTTTACATGGTCGCATGTTAAAGAGAGCGCAGTGTCAGGTTGCTAGGGAGCATCAGCAAACTATGGCAAGCGTGGTATTGGGCTGCCGGGGCTGTCACCAAACCGGAGAGTGCGGCGTGGGCTGTCAGGGAGCACCCACAGGCTGGCAAACGTGGTGTCAGGCTGTCAGGGGACGTGGCAGCAGCCCCGGGAAGAGCTCGTGACCGCGGTGGGATTGCAGGGACCATCAGGGAAGTCTGCCCAGCAAAGCACCGCGGCCAGGAGGGGCCTGTCCTGCCCCAGAGCAGCCCAGAGCCCCCACCGCAGCCGCGCCTCCTCCGTGCCCAGGACCTCCTGCTCCCATTTCAGGCAGCCAGGAGGGCCCCAGGGAGCCACCAGGCATGTCTGACGGCAGGAGCACCTTCGCGACGCTCCCTACGCCAGCATCCCCATGGCTGCCAGAGCTCCAGGGATAATGAACTTCTCATGTGCTTAAAGAGTGATGCAGGGTGCATGGCGAGAAGCTGACAGCCCCTTAATGTGCTTCTCAGTAGCGGCCAAACGACGCGGTTTTGTCTTTGTTTTTTAGTTTTAAAACCCACGGGAAATTGATGGCCAGTAAAGAGTTGTGTTGGGGCGATGTGCGTGATTAATACCAACTGTCAGGGGCTGTCGGAGACCGATCTCGGCGAGCTGGGAGTGCGGGGCTGAGCTGAGCTCACCAGATTGCTGGGGATTCCAGCTGCTGCTGCTCAGCTCCCGCCTGCCCCACGCAGCTTGTGTCACCCGTGCGCTCCCTTCCACCGAGCCTCTTAATTCAGTGCTAACAAGTCACTCCTGCTCATTACAGA